CCCCAAAACCCCAAAACCCCATACACCATTCTTAATTTAAAGATATTAAAAATTCCAAAACTTGTATATTATTAAAATTCCCTACTTTATTATGCATAGTGACTGTTTAAATTCAATAATCCTCTTCCAAATCTGAATCTTCTTCCTTAATCAACTATTTATTTACCTACTTAGGGTTACGAAGTGGTGATATTGTATTTTCCTATTATTTCTGACTTTAAACAGCTACCTTTGGGCTATATTTTTCTTAAAGTCCATTATCTTTGTTATTCTTAAGGAAGTTCTTTACGACTTTTTCATCTTTACAGTATTGTTTGAGCAAATCTACCATTACTTAGTTGTAGGTCTTTTTCTTGTCATTCATCATTTTCTTAAGTTTATCAAGCTCGTTCTTCTGATTTCTCTATATATATTCGTCTAACTTTTCAAATCCTCCACCAATTCTAACCATAACTGAGACACCCTTGATAATGAGTAGCTTAGACTCAGTTCCTATCAAATACTTTCCCTGCATCATTCTGATAATAGGTACCTAAATGTCAGATTTGTTGACAACACTCTCGACCAACTCATCTACTGTATCACCACGAATTGATTTGTATCTTTTGAGACCGAGTGCCAAAGCACTTCCAAGTTATTGCTTAAGTTTTTAAGAAATTGGATCGTAATCATCTGCTTCTCCTTCCTTTTTAGATGAGGATGATTTTTCTTCCTCCTCTTCCCTTTCACTTTTAATTGATGATCTGGGTGTAATTTTCTCCTCATCCTCAACTGGAAGTTTCACTTCCTCTTCAATTACAGTAGGTGATTCTTCTGGCATCTGCTAATCTGAAATTTGAGTTTCAATCTATTACTAAAGCTACCCATCATCCTCTTCTATAGCTTGCTCTTACTTTTAATCCTCTAATAATTATTCTTATACTTCCTCTAATGAGATTTCAACTGTATTTTCTTAATCTGGCTAGACTTCTTAAATTTCTTCAACATCTTCCTAAGCTTCATCTAATTTAATTTCCATTTATTCATTGTCCACTTATGCCTCCTCAAATTATTTTTCGATCTCAAATTTAACCTCTTCCTATGTTAATAGATCAGTAATTTATGACTCATCTAATTGGAGTTCTACTTAATTTGCTTAATTTTCATCTTAATGCTAATCTTCTAAAATAGGGAACTCTTATTATTACAATGAAGAATCTTCTTATTAGACTTGTTGTTTATCTTTTTAGATTTACTACACTTCCTCCAATTATAACTCCTCGGCAGGCTCCTCAACTATTTAAGCTTATTCTTCTTCTATTATAGCTTGCTCTTCTATTAATGGCTATTCTTCTATTATTGGTTGCTCTTCAACAACGGGCAATTCAATCTTGCCACCTAAAAAGCTATCGATATCATCATCACCTCCTAGAGAAATTTCAGATGTTTCAACTTAGAACTATAAGAACCCAGATGATTTATTAGCAGTATCCATTCTTCTTGGTCTGAACCCACTATACACAGAGTGAATCTTATTTTCAATGACAATAGATGTCTCCTAATCTTCAATATTATCATCTTCATCCTCATCAGGGATACCATCGTCATCATCTTCTTGGATGTCGTCATCTGCAACTTTGATCTATTCTTATTTTTCCTCTGATTATTGAACATCAATTTATTATTCCTCTTCAATCTCTTCTTCTTTTACATTTTATACTTCTTAATCTTCTTAAATTTCTTAAATTTCTTGAATTTCTTAAACTTCTTATGCTTCCTATTGATCCAATTGTTCCTATTTTTCCTGATATTCCTCAATTTCCTCCTTATTTTATTCCTCTGGACTTTACTGAAGCGGACCTTCTTCCTCTTGCTGTTATTGTTATTACTCTTATTCAAAGATTTCATTCTATTCTTCTGGTTTTTCTTCAATCACTTCTTCTTGTTTCGGCTCATCAATAACTTCTACTTCAAGTCTCTCAACCTGGCCAAAATCTAATTCTAGACTTTCCTCTATTTTCTTTTGAGAGCCTTCAAAGCCTGAGCAAAGGTCTTTCTATCGGGTTCTATTATTATGTCCATTCATCACTTTACTAGTAATTTTTATCACTGGAGTTTCCTAAATCTATCTCAGGAGATCCTCTCCTATAAACTTAAGCTCTTCAAGTAAGTTTTTAGATTCCTCTTATTCTTCAATCTCTGATATATCTTTTAAGTAGTCATAATCCTTGGCAAAAGCTTCAAATGATAGCACATCAATCTAAGAATTATTTTTTAATTCCTTGTATAAATTATCAGCAATCACAGAAATGAATTTTTTACTCATTTTATAAGTCAGAGTTCCCGGGATTACAACAGTCCCTAGGAAGCTAGAAGAAAATACTATGGCAGATTTTTGATTTCTTGACTATAATTTTGGTATTAATGCTTTTGTAAGATATAGGCTTTACAAAGTATTAAAATTTGTTAACTCTTCAATCTAGTTCAATGGAATTTGATGAAGGGGAGCGATATTATTCCAGGATGAATTGATAAATAGCATAGCGATGTCAAACTGTTGCAGTTTTAAAGCGATCTCTTAGTAGTCTTTTATGGTTGAAAATTACTTCAGATCTGACAAAACAATGTAAGTTTGTATGTTAGGATTCTTCTCTTTGATAAGTTGGATCTTTTCATTGATTTTCTTTTCATCACTGCCTATAATACATACATTAAACCCTTGAGTAGCCAATCTCTCACAAAATGCTAAGCCCAACGCATCAGAACCCCCTGTTACAACTATCCATGATTTTTAATCCTATCCCTAATTATTATCTCCGTATTTTTCGTAGTAATTGTTGGGGTCATTTTCTCCATTTTAATTCTAGTTCATCTTCCCATAGATCTAAGATATTGCTACATACACAGTCAGAATTCCTATTGCTAAGTAAAAGTAAAACTTGGGTTTTTATGTGGTAGAAATGTAGTTTCCCATATAATAGGTTTTATTGAATCAAAATATCAAGTATAAATAACTCATTTAAATAAAATAAATCTGCTCTTCAATCAAGCTCGCATTACATTTTTAAATATTCTATGTAATTTGATTCCATGGGGTTTTGGGGTTTTGGGG